CAGTTACGTTGTGACGTTTGATACACCCAAAGCACTCCTACGGTATCCAGGAGTTACACGATCTCATGGTCAAAGGAAGAGATACTTGACATTGGCAAAGCTCTAGCAAACGAACTACACGATCTTTGTGCTAGTCTTAGGATTGGGTCTTGTCCATCACATCATTCTCCTAATGATGTGATCCCGTTATCAACGACATCCAATGTCCATAGCTAGGAAACCATGACTATCTGTTGATCACAACGAGCTAGTCTACTAGAGGCTCACTAGGGACATATTGTGGTCTATGTATTCACACGTGTATTACGATTTCCGGATAATACAGTTATAGCATGAATAAAAGACAATTATCATGAACAAGGAAATATAATAATAATACTTTTATTATTGCCTCTAGGGCATATTTCCAACACCAGGGTCAAGCCCCTCACAAAGTCGTAAGTATCCGGACGCGGTAATATTTCTGGTTTTTTCACTTTATCATTTTTTATTGTGTTAGACCATGCATCTGCAGTCCGGCCCAATCCAAAACTGAGCTCTCCTCCTCTTCGAAGGGGTCGTTGGATCCGTCGACGATGAACAGCGAGTCCCTTCCAACGACCACCTCCCATAAGGCCGCGGACAACACCGAGGTGTTGTCCCGAAGGATACCGGGCCAAGGGGAGGCTGTTCCGGTGATGCCAGAGGAAGGAGGTCTGGTTGCCGGGCACATGGGGGGGGGAACCCCTACAGACCCCGACGATGGGGGCCGAGTCCAGTTCGGCCCTAAGCCGGATACAGCTCTGGAGACCCAAGTGGCTCCGGGTTTGGGCAGGCAGCCTCTCCCGAACGAGGGGGGCAAGCCGCCTCCGCCGGTGACCTTTGTCCATCCAGAGGCACCGGATAGATTGCTAGAAGCGCTACAAGGCGCTTCTGTCATGGAAGAGCGCCATACTCTTATGAGTACGATGATTGAGAAAATCCAATCCGCCAAAAGCGGATTGACCGAAACCTGCATTAGCCTTCTAACAGGATTTGAGGTAAGTAATATAGTTGTAAAAGAATATCACCTTGTAGATAATAGCCCCTGATGCTCTATTCGGTGTTCGGAAAGTAGAACCAAACAGAGGATCAAAATATTTTTCGCAGGAGTCTAACATAAAAATGTCTGTGTGAATAAGCAGGCGTCGCTGCTAGCCACTGCCGCCCATACCACGGAGGTCTCCAGCTTGACGCGGAACCTGGAGCGGGCCGAGGAAGAACTTGGCCTCGTGAGGAAGCAACTGGAGGATAGCCAAGGTATGCACTAACTGGTGCTTTATATTTGGGAGGGATGAAGAGTTCATACTGACTGAAGTGTCATGCACTTTATTAGGGGCCGCGACCGAAGTAGCGGCCCTCAAGAAGGTGTTGGCCGAGGCCGAGGACAAAGCGGCTAAGGAACACGCCGCGCGCGAGAAGCTGGAGGCTCGGGTCAGCGAGGTCCGGCAAGAGCTCTAGGACGCCGTCAAAAGTACGAGTCCTTGGAGCGTGATTCGAAGACTTAAGAGTCGGAACTTGCCAAGGCCCACCAGAGCGTGCAAGATGCCCGGGCCGAAGCCCAGAGCGCCCTCCGTGAAATACAGGTGGCCCAGGATATCGCGGCAGGTAAGGTTTTTATTATGCAAAAGCAAGTGTGTGAAGGAGGCGTTCCTTTTACTTACCCGAATTTGGATTTTTTCAGGAGCGTTTGCGGATCTGCCGCGCAGCATATCAGATGTTGCAGAGTTCTTTCGAGCCGAAGAAGGGAGCTCTACGGAGAAGTTGTTCTGGTCTCAATACCTTGGATCAAAACATCCGTCGCCCCTTAGCGACCAGCTAAAGCAGTTGGTCGAGCTGCACAAGGCGGCCGAACTGGCCATGAAGGACCTAATAGTCTGGCTATGGCCTGCCGAGCCCATGCCTAGTAGCTACTTCAAGGCGGCCGAAGTGTCAGTTTTCGGCTTTCTCTACTGAGGTGCTCGTCCGAAAAAACTGGGACACAATCGCAGTAGTTCTCCCTTTACTACCCTAGCCGATATAGCGGAATGTAGGGTAGCAAGCACAGGAGTCGGGCAACCCAACTATTGACCAAAATCATGATTCGGAGCCGATGCATATAATGCTATAAGTTCAGGGTGCCGAACTATACTGTAAAAGTGTTCGGACTTTCTTGCCGTGTTATGGGGTACAATGAAGCCCCTGGCGAATTAAGTCGTACCAGAATGTACGGGTGCAATTGAAAATAAATGGACAAGGAAAAATTTAAGTAATGGGCAAACGTGTCGGGCCGTGTCTTCCCGATTGCAAACTGCTCATGACGACGGTCTAGAGCAATAGCAGGAGAGAAGAAGGTCCAAAGCAGACGTGTCGGGCCGCCGTCGATGATCTCGAAACCCGACGGAACAAACTCCAGGGGATCCAAGGCAAAGTTCGCCATTGCGGGTGTGGGAGGTGGCGGAGAAGTTGGATGGTGCAAAGGAGACGGTGGAGGCGTGACAAGACCCGTCTGCACAGGCGCGTGGGTCATCTCTAAAACCGAGGAGTCCCTTGGAGGAGGAATACAAGGCAGACTCAGGGCGGGTATGGAAACCAACGTAGACGATATTTCTGGGTTTTCTTGCGATTTTTTAACCATCCAAATTTGACCATTATCTCTGCCTATTGATTGCAGAAGCAGCGGGTATGACCATTGCGGGAGCAAGCCAGACAGACAGGGCAGTCGACAGACAAGTGTCCCTGCTGGTTACATTTGGGACAGGTTAGAACGCGGGCCACCATGTCGTCGACCATATCACCCAACATGGCATCGACTTCTTGCATAGAAGGAATGGCATGCTCCTGAATAGAGTCTGTAGGCCGAGGAGGCAGGTAATGCCCAACAGGAGATTTTGGGATTGACGTGACCAAATTTGAACTCCCAGAGGGCTCGCCCAGGGCATGCAGATCACATTGTTGCACATCATTAGCCGCAATATGCGCGCGCCTAATCGGCGGCGATCCAACCATACCAAAAAGATTGGTGGCGTAGCCACCGTCCATTGAAGGTTTACCGACGGCGAGGGCTGAATGACCACTCATTCACGATTAGTGAGAACATAACCTCCATCAGAAAAAGCATCAATGCACTCTTGCATGGCTGGATAGTGATAACCTTTGCACGCACCATAGTTTTGAAATGTGGCAAAAGAGAGCTTCTTCCGAACATTGGTGGAAGATCGAATGGAGGACTTGGCAGGAGGTTTAAGCATAGCAAAAGCATCCCTAAAGCTGCTCTTCTCTTAGAAGGGCTAACTAAAATCCACTCAGCATCCAATTTTAATCTCCAATGATTAAACTCACGCTCCCAATTCGGACCTCCACGACTCCAATGATTGAAATAACATTTGAAGTGTGGGCAAGCAAAAGATCGTAGATCAAGAACATAAAAACCAACTTGCTTGGAGGAAACGTTGAAAGAATAAACCTTGTCACGTATGCATGAGACTCCCGGCTCGATTGCGGATCCTCCAATAGCTGCATCCAGGGCCGCCGCCACCGAATCATCATTAAGCCTGAAATCATGTCGGTTGAAGGACATGACCATCGTAAAATGGCCAGTGTCGTTCGTGGGATGGACCGGAAATCCAGTAAATCTGAAAATATTATCAGCAAACGCCAAACCCTTGGCTTGGAGAAGTCCAAGCCAAGGGTTTATCCCCAAGAGAAAGCCATCAAAAAGGATATCCCCTAGAAGAGAGGAGGACGCCGAAGATGTTGATCAGAAAGAACCAGAAGTTTAGTGGTTGTGGAAGGAGATCGCCGGAGATGGTGGTGGGGCGGTGGGGGAGGTGGGAGACGCCATCCTTCGTGACCAAAAAAAGAAACTTCTTTCATGGTTGGGCTGGACACTAAAAGTGTCCTCTTCACATATACAATATCATTTCTATACCATCACAATTTTACATGTTTTCAGTATTTATTCATACATTCCTCTTTCCATACTTTCGTTATTGTTTCATTTAACAATTCATCATGTTTCATCTCGGATTTGATATAAGTTTTGTTATGGTTTATAACATTATCTTTTGCATGTTTTTATTATTGGATCAGTTCAATTCATTCTCCTATCATCTCACATTTCACATAAATTTTAGTTGGTATCAATTTTGAATTTAAACTTGTTGAGAACATGTTGAAGTTTGATCTTGTTTTATAGATTTAAATGTCATGAACGTGAATCATACTAAAAGTGTTACAAATTTAGAATCATACTAAAAGTATGGGTGAATGGATAGTGGGATGAAAGAGTAAAATAATCTGAGTGCAATAGATGGCATGTTCCTATACAATGGGTGGTTCCACAAAAATAGTACAAAACGGTTGAATTCGGTAGAGTACTCGTATGAATTGTGTACACCTGCATACATGGCGAGCATGCGGGTAGCCGACAGAAACCGGAACCGCTAGTTTTTCATTTCCGCAGTTTGTACACCCCATCCATCAATACAATCGAGCAGGATGTAGGGTTTTAGCTTCAGAACCTAGATAGCTCTTGCCTCATGTTATCCATCTGTTTCAACCAGTTAGCTGTGACCCACTATCAAAGGATTTCTGAGAACATGAGCCTACAATTACCACTTTTAGATTCCGGACCATCTGTAAAAGGAATTTTCCTATGTCTTGGCGGCACTACCTCACCTCCCGCTCTCAGAAACTGTGTAACTGCCCTTTGAGCCTTAGAGTAATGCATTCAAATGGGCACCCTTCCTGCGTAATTGTCCAAAAAAGAATTTCTTATGAAAAACCAGCATTATTCCATTTTCTATCTGGGTAGACCTCTCGTGCTCAACAAAATTCTGCTCTCCAAGAAAAAAAAGTAACTGGGCAATATACATGGCCCTACACCTTGCAGTAAAGCTTTCACAGTAATAAGCCCAAAAAAAGAAGAAAAGGCTTGCAGCATAGCTAGGCACACCGTGGGTTCCCATCCATATACACGCGCCCAACAGCATTGCTAGGTGCTAACTGCTAAGCCGTGGGCTGGGCGACGGGGCGTTGGCCGGGCTGGGCGATGCAGCGTTAGCTACGCAAGGGATCTTCGGGTAGACGAACCCGGAGGTGTCCACTTCCGCGTTCTGGCAGCGAGCCACGGTTGCTCCACCGTCCGCGGCCGTGATCGCCACGGTGTTGACGTGGATGTCCATGCAGCTGCCGTTCTTGCTGCAATCGAAGTCGACGGCCGTCTTTCCTGTCGATGTCCCGTTGAGGTTCGTGTACGTTATGTTGCTCAGCGCCACCGCCCCCTGCAATAAATTTAGCCCCCAAGAAGACGCACAAACATTTTAGTACTAGCTACTCCTCCACACATACAGAAGTATATAGATCGCCCAACACTCAATCCACACATAGTAGTAGAGTACCGTATTTGAGACGTCCTGGCGATCTTCGTAGAACTGGTTGATTATCACAGGATGGTCCACGTTGGTGAAGTTTATGTTGGTGAAGGAGATGGATTTCGCGTAACCTTTCCCACCCTGCAGTGCCAAGAAACAGTGAATCAGCCGGCCGCCTCAGCTTCTTTGTAATTGTAACAAAAAAACCGGTAGCGATACCTTCCACGTCTTGATCCTTGCTCCATTCGTCGTGTTGATGAACTGGACGTTTCTCACGTCGATGTACTCCACGGATTCGTTTGCTCCATCCCTGCCCAGGCTCCCCACACTAGCCAAGAAGCAGAAACCCGGCCATCACGCCATTTTCCTCCTCTTCTTGGAGTGCATGGTAAATAGAAAATGCAGATGGAAGAGGCAATCCTGCCTATTGTAACCCTTTGTTACCTTACACCATGGCCGGGGCCGCAGACGATTCTGTCGACGGTGACGAAGCGGCTCCCGGGGCCGATGGAGATGCAGTCGTCGCCCGTGCCGATGGTCGAGCCGGTGATGTGGACGTCTTCGCTCCGGTCGACGTGCACGCCGTCGGTGTTGGGGCTGTCCTCCGGCGCGGTGATGGTGAGCTGCGTCACGTTGACCTTACCGCTCATGCTGAGGCCGATGTGCATCTGCGGGCTGTCCTTGCTGCTGAATTGGCTCAGCTCCACGTCGGTGCAGTTCATGACCAACAAGGCCTGGATCGATCCATATAGCGATACATATGTAATGAGGTTACATGCACGTCGATTTGCGAATTAATACTTGCTTTCTTTGTTTATATACTAACCGTCGGTGCCTTAGTTACACAATCCTGAAAAAAAATATCGACCATTAAATACTTTCTCTCCGAAGAAGATTGATAAATCAAAAGGCACTTGCCAAATGCAAGGAGGAATTAAAGAAATTCCTTAAGAGTTGAGTTGGGCTTCCTCACATCATCACCGTGTTTGCATTTATCGCTCCACCACGTCTTGCCGCTGCCGTCGAGCAAGCCGGTGCTGTTGCCGGTAACCGTGAGCCCGTCGACCTGGTAGAACATCAGCCAATAGTTCTTCTTCTCACTCCATGCGCTCGCCGGCGGCGCCGTAATCGTGCCCAAGACCTGCGACAAACAAAGCAAGTTTTCCTGACCGTCAGATGAAGCCAAACCACGGCCCAGATCACGAAGGACGGACGAGTGGTGCGTGCCTGGACGGTGATTCTAGTGGAGGCGCATGGCCCACTAAACCTGGTGAGACCGACGAGGAATGACTTCGCCGCCGGCACGTGCAGCGTCGCCGACGAGCCAGTGGCGCCGCACGCCGCCGCCCATGCATCCACGAACGCCTTCGCACACGGTACAGATAATCAACACACATCCGGCCATCAGGTATACGCCAGTATATTTTCGACCGAGAGCGGGCGCGTGCGTACCTTGGTGTCGTCCGTGGTCCCGTCCCCTAGAGCACCGTAGTCCTGGACGTTCAACACGCCGTCCACCCCGCCGGCGGCGGCGACGAGCACACTACACCACGCGAGGCTGACGAGGAGCAGGATGGCAGTGCGGAGGATGCCGATGATACCCTGCATGATTAAGCACATCTCACACAGACACACATGCATGGTCGTCAACTGATCACTGATCACCAGCACGCACGTACTACTACTCTATAAACTATGGATGAATCTGAACATCAGTTCGAGCAAACATTGCGAAATGCACTAATATACACAGAGCATGTACCATAGATGTAGGGCCCGTAAGGTCGTTGACTCGTGAAGAATTGTTGTGCAACCCTCGCTGTAGTCTCT